AATTGATGTATGTATGTTATGTAATTATTTATTATTATATATTTCTATAATGATATGAATTCTCACCCTTTTGTTGGAATGATGTTTTATACGATATCGCCTAGGTACCGAGGATAACGGTCGTGCTTCTAGCAAGGAGTAGTTAGAGGAGCTAGTCCTTTATTTATCCATTTTACTAGGTAGTGAGTCATGCTCTGGTCTATGTAACACGAGGGATGTTTAGGTTCATGTTATTATTATTATATTCATATTTATTTGAGAGATGTTGTTATACTCTCTGGGTATTTATGCTGGATTGAGATGTTTGTGATGATGGCCTTTAGTGCCTAATACTTTATGTTATGATTGTCAGTATGAGATTTCAATCATTAGTATTATTATTTTGAATTGAGAATTATTCCACTGTGAGATGCATATGCGTTATTGTATGGAATATGATTGTAAATGCGTGTTATGAATATGACCAGTGTATTTCAGTTGTTGTCGTGAAGTAAATATGACGTCCTCGTCTGATATGCATGCTAATTTACTCTGATTATGCCATATTAATTATGCGGGGTTTAGGGGATGTTGCAAGGGAAACCCTTCATCGTGCTTGACCGGTTGACCCATTGTCTTGCGATGATAAAGAAATTTTGTCGATTTGCCTTCCTTTCACTGCTATGAATCTTTCTGGCATCGATTCTCCAATCACCATCACACTACCATCGTCGTCGCTATTATTTCCAGTGACCCTCATATAAAATACCATCGTCGTCGTCCCCAATTATTCCGAGATTATTTGTCTTTTTACAGGTATAACATTTGTCAACTCAAACCAATGGAAAAGGACAACATGAAGAAGTCTAGACAATAAACAAAGATAAAAAGAACTAAAAAATACAAAGTTTGGATTTTTGGAGCAGTGACGGTCGTCACACCCTTGTGACAGGCGTAACACCCCCCAACTTGGAGTAACGCTCGTCACACATCACTGACGAGCGTAATGCGCTACTTAAGCGCGTTACGACCGTCACGCGCGTGAAGATGGGCGTTGTAAAGAGTGGAGACGTGGGCAACGTAAGGGCAGACTCGTTCTGCTATTTTTCCTCCACCCACTAATAGTGCTCCCTATATTTTCTCCATTCAACCTTTCCTCAAGACTTGGCAACTGCTATTTTTCCTCTGCTATATATATATGTGTGCAAGTGCAACGTACCAAGGGTCGAAGGAATTTCCTCAGAGCAAATTTATTATTCTTTTGCAATTATTTCTATTTTCTTGTTTTAGAGTTTTTCTACGTTGCTGTAATTTTCATTCCAAGCTTTAGTTTTTAGTTTTAGGTGTTAATTCTTCATTCAAGAATTAACACGATTTATTTACTGCAATCAAGCTCAAGGATTATTGTAATACTTCAAGATTACCATAGTAACTTTGATTCCAGGTTTTTATTGCAATTAATATTTATTCGTTTTTATATTATGCCAATTATTGTTATGAATTATATTTTGAATTGCATTGTTGTTAAATTCATTATGTCTGGCTAATTTATTAATACCGGTATGTGACTCTTAAGAACTGAAAGAATTCAGTGATACCTTGGCCAAAAATATTTATAAAACAATTTCTGGTTTCCAATTTCCAAGATTAATTTAACTACCCTTGTCACGAGAGTGAGAGGTTAATTAACATGATTTTGCCACGAGAGTGGGAAATTAATTAAGGCAAGAACCTGCATGCGAGAGCTGGGGTTCAACCCAGATAGTGGTAACGAAACATTAATTTTTAAATACACGAGAGTGTTTTAATAAATTAATTAAACTCAAATTGTTTTCAAAAAGTGTTATTAAATTTAAAGTGCATCCACTAGGTTTAGTAGCATAACTTATTTCACGAACACGAGAGTGTATGTCTCAGGTTTTTAAACAATTAGCTTTTACCGAAATACTTTATAGGCCAAGCGATTCACTGAATTCCCGAAGTCCGATTATCACATATCGGTATAACTATTACTATTACTTTTAATTAAATTGTTTCCCCCAAAAATCGAATATTCATCGCTTAGTTAAACAAACTGTAGCATTAGATCGTATGCGATTGATCCTCAGTCTCTGTGGGTTCGATAATCTTTTAAAACTAGAACGACTAAACTGTATACTTGCAGTTAGTATCCCGACAGACTTATAAAGTCCCGATCAGAAGCGAACCTCCAAATTCGGTCGATCCCTATAAAAATCACCGCCAACCGCCTCTGCACACACTCACACGTGCCGCCATCTCTTTTGCGTTTGGGCCTCACATGCCACTCTTCCTATGGTATGTGATAGCGTGTCTTGACTCCAATCCTGGCGTCATTTTCAGCGACGTGCTCAATTTTCTGTCCCAGTCCTTGATCTACACTCAATTTTTTATGATAAATAGAAGTACATGTTCATATGCATTTTTGCCGTGTTTCACCGTTCGTTGTGACCATCATTGTTCTCTCCATTATAAACCGACCTTGTTTGCATGTTTTCCATCAATCAACTCTCATGGGAGATACTAATTGTGTCATATATACTAAAGTTACTATTATCTCGTGTAAGAAATTAACTGGGACATCCACTGAATCATTAATGCTTGCTTCCCACTACCATGGTCGTGGTTGACAAAACGAAGAACGCGGTGGCCAATTATATTCGTTGTAACTATTATAATCTTTACGCTTATATTGAAGTTGAATGTCGTACAAAGGCAAGAGAAAATCAAGGACAACCTAAGATTGTTGTTGTCGCTCAACCGACTATCGCCAAAGAAGTTATTATTATAGTCGCTGATTACAATGAGTTCCTTCAATTCAAAGCAATTCATCAACCATTATTTCATGTCGCCATTGCTCAACCTGGTAACCCTATAGCCTTTGTCTCTATATCATCCTCCCTTGGTCCTAGGATCCTTGACTTTGGTAACTATGATCATATGACTGATAATAAATTTCTTTTATCTCACGTGTCTTATTGTAATTCTTTGCCTTTTGTCACTATGGTGGATGACTCTAAAATTAAAGTTCAAGGCATTGGTCAGGCGCACACTCACTTCCAAACTTGTCTTTAAACTTTGTGCTCTATATTCCTGGTTGCACTTTCAATTTAATATTTTTTAAAAAGCCACTCATACTCTTGATTGTTTAGTGTTGTTTATTGATAATTTTGTTTATGTCCAAGATCGACTTACGGGACAAACGATTAGAACAGAGAGTGAATATAGAAGATTATATCATCTATAACCACTGATGGCATGTGCTTCTATTGCTTCTCAAATTCTTACCCATCAAGGTCCTTTACTCTAAGTTTAATAAAAACATTTGCTTCTTGTAAAAAAAAAAGGTATTTGCTTCTTGTAAAAAAAAGCATTTGCTTTCTCATTAAATAAACCTTAAAATCTTTTTCAACCAATTATGATCAGAAAACTCTAATTTAGATGTATTTTTAAAACTAACCATCAAATGTGTGAGCATACCTAACTTGTTCTAATTTCCGAAGTCTCCCTAATTAAACATTTATTTGTGTCAATAAATGATATATGTCAATAACCTTTTAAACAATATCGATGACCTATTAACTTGTCATTTAAGTTTTCTTTTGTAACAATTTAATCCTCTATATGTCAATAATTTGGTTCTTGCTTTGAGTCTCCTCGTATTTATGAGTCCTCTGTGAGTGAATGGATGTAGTTTAATACTATCATTTTTGCAGCATTAAGATTGACCATAATGGTATTCCACCTGTTTATTTTGAATCATGTTTTGAATGGGAACTCCTATGTTTTCTCATATCTATTCAAGGGTCTAAGTCATCATGAGCCATAATCTATCCATTGTTGACCCAAAAAATTCCTATCATAATTCACATTTAACCAATAACCAAATTCTATAGTTAGTACATACTACTAGTTTTAAAAGAAAGTACTTACTAGTTTACATATTACTCTTAAAATTTCATGATCAACACCACATTTCTCCTAACCTCAAAATTTCACCTCGACAATAACAACACAAAGCAAATACATCAATAGACTCCTTAAATCATTACGAATAGATTTGATTCAACCAACAAATATCATATAAAACTATAAAATTCTGACTCCGACACGGATATCAGACACGATACAGACATGAATATTCTGATTTCGATATGTCAAAAATCTAAGACACCGACACCGTTGTATATGTTATAATATTTGAGTTTTATTTATTCATCCTATATCAAAAGAATTTAAAATATTTTAATCAAAATTAATATCTTTAAATTTTTATTGAAAATATTACTTTAATACATGTTTAGCCATTTTAATCGAGGGTGAAATTTATCTAAAAAATGTATGAAGTGTGTTGCGGAAAAAAAACACAATATTTTTGAAGAAAATTTGTCAAAATTATCAAACACATGTTGTATGAGTGTTATATTAACATTGGACATCAATTCAAAATGTGTCGAAACAAAGAAAATAAAAAACATATAATTAATAATGAAGTGAAACTAAATTAATAGCAACTTGGTACTCCTCTCTAGTCTCCTCTATATTTTTCATTCCTTTCTATTTGACTGAATGAATATAGTTTGATAACAGATTGAAAAGGATATTTTGGCAACATTAAGATTGACCATACTGGTTAGTATCCACATATTTATTTTGAATCGCGTTTTGAGTAGGAATTCTCATATCTGTTTAAGGGTTTAAACCATCATAATCCATCCATTGTTGACCAAGAATTCCCTATCACAACATTTAATCAGCAACCAAATTCCATAGTTAGTACATACTACTTGTTTAAAAGAAAAACTACTTATCAGTAAACATATTACTCATAAAATTTCATGATCATCACTATATTTTTCCTAACCTCAAAACTTCACATTGACAAAAATAACACAAGCAAACACATCAATACATTTCATAACTCCTAAAAGACTTAGGTTCAACCAACAAGTATCATAACAGGAAAATAAAACAAGTCTTATTTAGTAAGTGTTAACCATCTTTCAAAGTATAAGATCATCATCGAAAAACAGGTCATCAGCACAAAATTGAAAAGGTGCGTCAGGTTTGATTCTCTGAAGTCTGATAGCAAGTAGAACACGCCCTTCAAGCCTATGGCAATTTCCATCCCTCCTAAGCAGAGGAAAAGAGCCCACTTTTCTTCGATTATACGCCACTGGAATCGGAATCTTCACTCTCCCCACCACGACTTTACCACTGGACGATCCAGGATCAGCCAAAGAGTTAAACCTCTGTACCTCAACATTCAGAAAAACTTGGTCATCAAGATTCTCTAACAAGATAACGTCACTTTGATTCCATACAGGGGTAACACCTTCAACAACCTTTGTGTGGATTTCTTCACCGGGTTTTATCCAATGCACCACATTGTAACCTCTGTTCCTGACACCTTCAGCAACCTTGCTGTGAATCTCTTCACATTTGTCAATGCCTTCGGCTCTGTAGATTACTATGTGCAAACCGGTTTTGAATTCTTCGGTGATTGTGGTTTTATTCTTTTGGTTTGGAAATGGTATTATTGGCCTTCTTTTCTTTAACGGAAGTACCGTCGTCACCATGGTCATGGTGGAATTCAAGAAAACAAGAATTTGGGGAGAGAGTTGAGTGAGGCGATAAATAAATAGTAATAGGTGAGTGAGGAAAATTGATTAGAAAAGTTGGTTGGAATACGGAAGAAATATTCGCAGCTTTACTCGCTTACTTTTCTAACTTAACTTTGACTCCCTACATTTTTCTAACTGATTTCATAAGTAGAACAAAAAAAATCTCTCTAAACACTTTTCATTTGCACATACATAGAAAAATTAGTTTTGGATTTAATCCGTGAAAAATGTGAAAAAATAATAACAATAAATTCATATTTTAAAATGGCTTAAATAATAGTATTCAATTAGAAGCATAAATAATTGTGTTCAATTTAAAAATATTGTTACACTTTTATCCTCTCTTTTAAACTATACATTTTACTATACATATTAATTTTATTTATTTATTATGTTTTAAATTATATACTATTTTTGTGATTGGTTTTTTCTTTTGTAAATTGGGTTCTAGACATGGGCTGATCTATGTTTAGGCACACCACACCAAAAATACATATTTTTTCTTTTATATATATATATATATATATATATATATATATATATATATATATATATATATATATATATATATATATATATATATATATATATATATATATATATATATATATATATATATATATATATATATATATATATATATATATATATATATATATATATATATATATATATATATATATATATATATATATATATATATATATATATATATTATTTTTCTCTCTTTATAATGTTTTAAAAGTGTGACCGATTATCAAATCGATGAAGACAAACATTAGTTTATCAATCAAATTAGTAGATTGCTAGTTGAACCTCATGATTAAATAAGATTAAATTGAATAATTCAGTTAAATAAAAATAAAACGATCTCTATAGCAAAACTATATAGTTGTTAAACCGTTCAAATCAGATAACTCGATTTCTAAACAAAATCACGACATCTAGCAAATTTTAAAATTTTAAAATATCATAATTTTACAAATTCATTCTTTAAACTCAAATTCTAAACATATCATCTCATACAACAAAATAATACAAAATACAAATCAAAATAAATTTTTAACAAAGTCTAATTGAAACATAAATTAAATAAAAAAATAAGTGTCGTGTCTAATAAATTTAATTTCAAGGAGGAAAGTTAGTTCCAAATAAGTTATGAATAAATTCTATTTATATTTTAATTTTACAGTTTATCTGCCAATTTTCTAAACTCGCACTTCATAATTTTGGTCAGTTATGATCGACTCTCATTGATTTAATAACTTATCTGATCCAGCAGTCAAATCAGACTGATGACCCTTCTAATTTCCAATTCGACTGGTCGGTCCAGCCAATTCGGTTTTTGAAACACTTTTATCACGTCCTTAAGTTTCTTTCTCAGTTTTATATTTACTAATCTCTTATATTTAGTAAACAATTTTCATTGTAAATGTATTACTTTAAACAATAATATTTCTTATTTTTAATATATCTAATTTATAATTTCTTTTATTTTTAGCCACATCAATATATATTGTCTGGATCCGCCCTTGGTTCTAGAGCTCATCAGAATTAGAATAGACGTTAAGACTCGACAAACATTTACAGAACATTTCTAGAAACTCACATACCCTTGTCAATCCCTTCCGCATATAAGTGGGTGTGATCCTTAAGTGACCACATAGAATTTAGAATCCCTTGTGAAAAGATTAACTATTTCAATGAAGTTGTGATGGAGCGAGGTTAATCTTCATCAGGATGCTCGCCTCAAAAACGGTGAAGGGAATCCTCACCCCGTATTAGTCACAATGCAACTTTGCATGTAGAATTACGCGTCTCATGCTCCTCGAGGATGCCTCTGGCATGCTTTCTCTCCCTTGGCATAAGGTTCTAGCAAGACGTCATCTTCTCTCCCAGTTTTTAATAGTGTAAGCCTATACGAGACTTTTTCACCATATTCTCGATATTAAACAAGGATTTGATGTTCACGAAATCACCACTGAAGTACTTCACATTTATAGTTGAACTTTCCATTTGTAGCCCATTGATCTTGAGTTAGAAAACACCAAAACAATTTGATTATCACTACTCGCACACAATCAGAACTACTAAATAAAACTATTGATATAACTTCCAAATATTTTTCTTTCAATGGAACTCCAATTCACTATGATGTATGCTCGCCTCAAACTCTCGACAAACCGATGGCATAATTCTCACCTCTCCTCATGGTTGTTAGGCTCAACTACACTTTCACTAGCACCGCAACCTCTAAAGAATACCATTTTCTAAGTATAAAATAAAAAATACATAAAAAAGGAGAAAAAAATATAGATGTTAAGGCTTCATGAAAAGGTGAATAAAACTGAATTTGTAGAAACGATCGAGATGGTGTCACAAAATAGTCGATGTGAAAGCATTCCCTAAACAAATGTGTGATGGGAATGGAAAGTAAAAACACTTAAATTTATAAGTAAGAAACCCTCCCTACCCAAGTAATTGTCTATAACATATAACCATCATTAGTGTGATAACATCGGCGACATCTCTGCTTACAAGCATGCAGATCAGTACACTATCTAGATTATAGTTAGAATTTCCCAAGACATAATTTAATCATTGCCTCCATTTAATGATATGTTTAATCTTCTAATTAAATCCATTGGTCAGGGAAAAAATTGTTTGATCTAATTTAATGGACACTATCAGATCCAACAATTTACCCACAAGTGTCATCTTCACCATAAATCACTTCGCCCTTACACACCTTGGGCTTGAGGGACTGTGAAACTTTATGACTTTGCTTTAAATCACTTCACCCTTATGTCATACCCCAAATTTGCCCGCCTCATTTTTAAAAAAATATTCAAATTACTTCTTTTTTTAAAACTTGGTTTCATAAATTTTTGGGTATTACTAACATTTTGGGTTTCATGAATATTTCGTTCTCAAGTCCAGTTAAAAATATAATAATTTATTTCAAATTATTTGTATCTTTAAAGATAACAAATATATGTGCACCTTTCATATACTTTCAATTGGGTTTATTTTCAAATGAGTAATATAACACAGTTGGTAAGGAATTAAGCTTGCAAGTATGAGGTTGTGAGTTTAAATCTTGTGTGTGTTGCACTTTTAAACATTTTTTTCTTCTATTTTTATTACTAATTTTATTTCCTTTTCTGGAGATCAAACTTTGGGCTTTCTTTTGGGTTTTTGGATAACTTGGTCTCTAAGCTTTGTTTAACCTAATTTTGAGTCTATAAATAGGACTCACTATTGTCCTAATTTTCCATCTACAATTTCACAATTGCATTACACATCCACAATTAACTAAAATTATTCTCTCAAAGTTGTTGCTCTTCACATCGAAGAACAACAACAAAGAAACCATAAGCCTTCAGCAAGCGATGATCTCCAAAGGAAAAATCTTGCAGCGAAAAAAGGAAAAGGAAGCCGCTTAAATTTGTCACGACACTCCAAGTTAGTAAAATTTGAATTTTTAATTTGTGGTTTGTTGTTGATATGTTGTTGTGCTTGTATACTGTTTATTTTCAATTCTATACGGCTTGATTGGTAATTGCCCTGCTTGTTGTAACACCCTAATTTTAATTAGAATTATTTTATTAGAATAAAATCGATGATATGATGTGCTTATATATGTTGATGATCCTATAACGCGTTTTGATGAAATTGTTGGAAGTATAGATGTAATAATAATTGAAGAAGTTAGGGGTGTATGGCTAAATACGTAGAAACATGGGGGTGGGTGGAATAATATTTATTATTATTATTATTATTATTATTATTATTATTATTGTATTATTAGGATTATTGTTATTTTATAATATTAACTAAATATTTAATTAATTGTGATAGTGATATTATTATTGGAATATATACTAGAGTAAGAACAAGAGAATAGGCCAGTACGTAGAAACTGAGAAAGAGAAGCGTAGAAGAGAGAAGAAGAGAAGAGCACTAGGAAGCTAGGGTGAAGGAATCTGCTGTAGAGACTAAGAATCAACAAAGAACCTAAGGTAAGGGTGGAGTTCTGACTCTCTAATAAGTTGTATAATTGTTGGTAGATGAAGGTTTGAATGTAGGGTTTGGGGTGTAGGTTGATTGTTAGATTGTTTGTTGAAATTATTTACAATTGATGAAATTGATGTGTTGTTTGTGTTAGATTAGTGGTATATGATGTGTGTTGATGATTTAAATTAATTGATGTATTTGATCATTCATAAAAAGAGGTTTTTTGGGTGAAGAAGATGGGATTTTGTAGCAAAAAAATCAATTTTTTGGGTCTGTTCGCGATGGGTAATCGATTACCATATATGGGTAACCGGTTACCGTTGTTTGTGTTTTTAAACAATTGGCTGCTGACTTGCAGTAACCGGTTACCGTAACTGGGTAATCGGTTACCGTGAAGAATTTTGAAAAAAATTGGGTTACTGTCTTGCAATAACCGGTTACCGTAACTGAGTAACCGGTTACCGCTGAAGCTGACAAATTTTTTAGAAAACTTTTAAAAACCATAACTTTCGCCTCGGGTGTCCGTTTGGTGCACCGTTTGAACCGTTGAAAGGATAAAAATATTTTCTATAATATGAAATTAACTTTTATAACAGTGATCTAATAATTTATCGAAATGATTATGATGGGTGTGTATGTTGGATGAGTTGTGACACCAAAAGTGTCTTGAACAAGTTGTGTTTGTCGTACCCATGATGTGCAAAGAAATTACAGGTGATATTACGGTACTAAGAAGGTGATGTTAGCCTGAAAATTGGATTTATGTTGATGGTATGCCTGGAATTGCATATTCATGGTTGTAGCATGTAGCATTTCATGCATCGTTGAGGGCATATGCCTTGGCCTTCATGGTAATCGTTGAGGGCTTATGCCCTGGCCTTTATGGCAATCATTGAGGGCTTATGCCTTGGCCTATATGAAAATTTGTTGAGAGCTTA